GCCGGGAGCCCGATGCGGGACTCGATCCCAGGACCCTGGGATCATGACCTGAGCCGAAGGCAGTCGCTTAACCAACTGAGCCACCCAGGCGCCCGGGCTTTAGGGTCTTAAAACTCCAGTTGGGGTCAGCCCCAAGGTAGACGCCATGTAACTCTGCTCTTGATTGATTTCAGACACTGGCTTTGGCCACAGCTGTCTTGTCAAGGAAAACCTGATTGACTTCTTCATCCCCTTCCTGCCCCTGGAGTACCACCACGTGAGGCTGTGCGCACGCGACGCTTTCCTGAGCCAGGGGCTCCCGTACACAGAAGAGGCCCTGGACCAGATTGCCAAGATGATGGTGTATATCCCCAAGGAGGAGCAACTCTTCTCTTCTCAGGGCTGCAAATCTATTTCCCAGAGAATTAGCTATTTCCTGCCTTGAGGGCTCGAGGAAGACTTCCTGCAGCTGCGGGTTTTCCCCCACCAGGACCCTGGGGCCGGTCAGGAGGGCAGGCTGGCCTCCAGCCGTCACTCCCACACACAAAAGGTGTGTAAGAAGGGAAGGCCTTAAATCAGAAACAGCCAACACTTTAAATCACTTGGTGCCTTAAAGAGCCACATTTTAAAATGTGGGCCAGGTGGTTGGAGACAGCCACAGGCCAGATGAATCCCAAGGCCTGGCTAGCATCTCCGCCCTTGCCTGCAGAGGCCCGGACTTGGGGGTGAGGCCAGAGGTCGCGGGGTCCTCATTGACAGGGAAGGGAGACTCAAGCTCCGCTTACCAGTGGCCAGGCTGCACCTCGGGTGTGCAGGCACAGGGGCTTAGCTTTCAAGCTGTTCCCAGAGGGAAGCGGAGCAGGTTTGTGTATGAGCGGATCAGCAAAGAGCCTCAGGCTGAAGGAAAAAGTACGCAAAAGAAAATTTTATATATATATTTATATATAAATCATGTCAGTGGAGATTAAGATTTGTACTCTTAGATTTGAAAGAATTTAAGCAAGGGGCTTTGACATGGCTGTGTCACGTGTAAAGATTAAAAGTTTGTATTTTTCTAAAACCCTCAGCCTCCTTTCTGAGACCTAGTAATCATGCTCACGCGGCCGGGGGCGGATGCCAGCGCTCAGGGCGGACGCGGTGACCGCCGGCTCTGCCAGGTCACTTCCCACGGCTTCGCGCAGCAGCCAAACCGTCATGTCAGCCTCTTACTGAGGAGCTCTCACAGCATAGTGCTCCGTACGTGAAAACGTCTCTCCCGGGCTCCCAGCTGTAAAAAGAGAAAGTCATTCTTGAGGTTTGAATGGCCACATATAAATGCGTACATTGTGTTTCTAGACACACAGGGGATGTGCGTTATGTGTCTTTTGCCTTCTCTTGGTTCTTCTTTTGCTTTTCTGGAATTGCACACAGGTCTTATATTTGTCATCACCTCAAGTATCCCCTTATTTAAAGCCTTCCCCAAGCCCTCTTACCTTCAGGCTCTCTCCAATTGAGCACTTGATCGCACTCACTCATTTACACCGTCTCAAGGTCAGGGAGGACCTATAGCCTGAGCCATGTTACGTACGTTGTCTCGGTCTAGAGTATCTCGGGAAGAAGATGCAGGAAAACTGATCCTGTTACAACCCCAGCTCTATACTCTGTAAATACAATTTTATTTCTTTAAGATTTTGAGAGAGAGCGAGCGGCGTGCACGAGTGGGGGAGAGGGGGAAGCAGGCTCCCCACTGAGCAGGGAGCCAGACCCAAGGCCTGATCCCAGGACCAATCACAGGACCCTGGGATCGTAACCTGAGCCAAAGGCAGACGCTTAACCAACAGCCCCCCAGGCGGCCCTATAACTGTACACTTTATACTGTCTTTAGGTTTCAGAGCACGCTCCAGCAGCCATCCTTTTAGCACTGGCTAGCCACAGCTGCTGGCGTAAATACAGGGTCTGACCGGCTCCGCGCCTCAGGGACAAAGGTAGGCAGCAGGACATGGTGGCTCTGCACCCTTCTCGGGCGCCCGGCCCGCAGTGTGGGGGCTCAGCCGCCTGGCGCTGTGAGACCACAGAAGGCTACCAACCGCAGCTGAGCCTTGCTTGCTCCTTCTGTAAAAGTGAGCATCACTGCACTTCCCTCATAGAGTTGCTGTGAGGATAAGACCAATCCATAAAGTGCGTAGGACACAGCCCTTTGGTGTTTAATAAAGTACAGTCTAATAAAACTGCTGTCAGTTGGCACCATACTCCAAGCCAAGCGGGGGCTTCACCCCCACCCCCGTTCTAGTCCGCGTGACCCCAGCTGAAGTCCGTTGTCGGTAACCAACATTTGAGAACTTACCATGTGCCCTGCATGCACTGTGCTAAGCACTTTATAGCCACTACTTCATGTCACCTTTAACGCTGGCTTCGGCGACGAGGAAATTGAGGCTCTGAGAGGTAAAAGATCGTGCACAAAGTCACAGAGCTAGTCAGTGGATTGGAGGGGCTCAACCCAGGCAGTCTGACTCCAGCTTTCCTGACTTGTTCCTAAAACAGATTTCCTCAGCTGTGCAGAATGTTACAAATAACACAAAAGAGGGAGAAAATCACAATGGAAGGTTCTCCTCCGGAGACTCTAAATCAAGATTGCCCAACTAAACCAAAAACGGGCAGGAGGAAAGGACTGCAGGGGGAGCGCGAGGAGGTAAGATGTTTAATTAACAGCCCCTCCACCCGGACCTCACTGTGCACCACATGAATACAGCCTACTCCTACCTAATTACCACGGTACTTCTAAAAGCAATGACTCACGTTTTTAAAAAACTGAAGGCCCAGTCAAGCAAGGGTAGAATGTTCCATGTGACATTCTACACACTCTCTATTAATGCTACTTTGGCTCAAAACCTTTTCAGAACCAAGGCGTCTGCCTTCAGCTCAGGTCACGATCCCAGGGTCCTGGGATGGAGCCCCACGTTGGGCTCTCTGCTCAGCAGGGAGTCTGCTTCTCCCTCTCCCTCTGCCTGCCGCTCTGCCTACTTGTGCTCTGTCAGATGAATACAAAATCTTTAAAAAAGCACCCTTCTATTAATACAATTGGCACTTCGATAGAGTAATTAAAAAAAAAAACGTTTTCAGACCCTATTTGGAGTGTCCTCAGAGTGGACTGGGAATTAAGTCTCCCTTTACAGTCCCCCGTGTTAGATACACACATGCACGTACACCCATTACCCACCGTATGTACCTGCCCGGCTCCAGATGATGCCTTTGACCGTTTCCAAAAGTGTAATTCATCGAAGAACGAGCACTCACTCCCACAGAGGACAACCTGAAGAATGTGCCAGAGGGATGTCGCCAAAACCAGCTTCCCCTTACAGACTTCTATTTTATTGTGAGGAAAGATACATTCTGCACAGATTCCCTCTCAGTTAAAACTGTGGGAGAAACACTCCAATCAGAGGCCTACTTTGCCAATAAAATATTGCAACCTTTATTTAAAATAAAACACAAGTTGGCAAGCCTTGTGAGACAACAGGCAGACAGCATTCCCCTTTCAAGGGCCTCATTTATTTACATCAAGTTTAACACTGTTAGCAGTTCACAGTCAGACAACAGGGTGAGAGAATTAAATTAGAAAAACAAAACACCTGAAAATATATTACAAGAACAAATACCTGACAACACTGGTAGTGTGACTCATGACTGATGTGTTTCCAGTGAAATCCCGTACTGTCTCCCTGTGTCCCCTCAGCGGTGCACAGTGCCAGGCCCTCCAGGCCTCACCCCCGTGCATCCACCACGCATACACCTGCGGAGCGTGACCTTTGGTATAAACGTTAAACGAGTTTTAAAGACTGAATCATAGGCTGTAGGACAAAGTTCTATCAACCACCATGAAACGTTCAAACTTCTTTTTGACAAGCAAGCATAAAACTGGGTTTCTCCACTGATAGTCATTTCAGAATCAGATTGCAAGAAGTAAAAGCGTGGGGTCTACCCAGGAGATGGGGGGTTCTGAGGATGCATACACAGCTCAGTCAGCCTGCTCGTGGCCAACACACCAAACCAGGGCACAGCTTCTCTTCACCACAGGGAAAGAGCTGAATAAGTGAGAAAGATCCTCTTTCACTGACTCCCCTCCTTTCTCAGCACAATGGTGTAGGTACAGAATGTGGACAGAACACAGACCCTCCATATAGATCTGAGAGATGAGGGTTTTCAAACATATGCCCTAAAGAACTCTGAGTACCTCACTGTCCTTTCTAGTTTCTGAATACAAATTTCTCTGAAGGACAATCACCCTAATCAAGGTGATTTCTCAAGATCTCAGAAAATTTCTCTCCTAACGGAATCCCAAGAACAGTGGCCACAGTGAAAAACAGCTTGTCCAAATGGAGGCAGGCTGGCTTACCTGGCCTTCACCTACCAGAAACATCTCGGTCTCTCGGCAGGCCTGCCAACTCTCAACACATGGTATGGTACTTCTGAATTGTGCAGAACAGTATTTGGGATTCACCAGTGAGGATACTAAAGCCCTACAGGATCCTGCAATATCTTCTGAATCACGAATAAATTTATTAGGCATACCTGTGTTACTGTTGTGTTACAACCGATGAAAACTACCCTACATGTGAAAATTTTATTAACTAGAAGTCCCATTCTCCAATTGAAGTTTATGGTGCTTAATTACATGATTTGAAACTTCTATCCTGAGGCTCAGAAGCAAACCTAATAAGCAAGCTTCAATGAGACGAACTATTTCCTTTCTTTCTTGAAGCCCACTAGCATTGGACCACTCACCTCCACCATGTCTTAAAGAATTGACTAGAATGCTCCCTCAAGCCCTGCATGTAGAGCTCAGTAGCTTGGAGTGACACGCAGGACCCAGAAACTTGCTCCTCTGAGTAAAATGATGAACAAAGGATTTCACAGAACAGACACAGAGGGCACGAATTGGGTGTGGTCTAAGGACAAAGTGGAGCCTAAGCTTTCGACTTAAAGGAGACACCCTTTCCTTCAGATGGTCTGCAGGTTAGATCTGTTCACACGCCATCTGTGACCCCGGGCTGTTACCAGGGCCTTGCTACTGTGCTCACTATGTATACTTAACAGTGGGAAAGTTAAAGGATGTAATTTTTCTAAGAGACGTAAACAGTTTCAAATTCATAATTGAAAACAAGAGCAAAGAAGTGCACCTGGAGGGAGGGAAGGGTCCAGTTAGAGCAGCCTTCCCCCAGCTCCCCAGGCGGGCTGGAAAAAAGTGCAGTCTGTCACATCAGCGTCCCGTATGGGGGGAACATCTCAAGCAGGGACTCTCACTGACTGGGGCACTGAGCCCCCACCACCCACCTAACCAGTTCTAGCTCACTAAGTGTGCACCACCAACCCAGCTTACAAGTCTCTCCTCCGCAAATCGCACAAAGCCCATCTTTGAAGGCACAATCCTCAGAGTGTCTTCTACCACTCCAAGTCATCCTAGAATCAAGATGACCTGCCTAGGCCTCCTCACCCAGGGAGAAGCATGCGCTCTTCCTACCCTATCCTGCTCTTGGGATCTAGGATACGGAGTCGGAAATGGAGGAAATAGCGCCTTACACATGTGGTATCTTCAAGATGAACCCTTTCACCTCCGGTATGGCATGGGAAAGCAGCCCCAGAGCAGGAAAACCCCTCCTATTGGGACGCTGCAGTAAACGTCAAGCCAGACAGACTTGGAGGCTGTCTTAGTCACCTGCGTAGACACTCTGCACAGCCCGGAAATCCAGCCACACTTCCCGGCGATACAGGAGGGCAGGGAATGGCACTGAAGTTCTGGCGGTAACAGGGCAGGTAACAACAATCATCGTTACTCCAGGCGCTTGCCCAGAAAAGCAAGCCTTGCATTTGAATTTTTAAATTCTGAGAGTTGGAAAACTGGAACTCTATCCAAAAGAATTAACTATCCTGACTGTTGTTATGAGTGGGACAAGCTTTAGAACCAGCCCAGGCCTCTCCTCTCTGCCTGGCGAGGCTAATGGCCAGCAGCAATTTCCTGGGTTGTCGCACGGATGGGGCAGGCATCTGTGGGGCTGCCTTGGCCTGCCTCTGTCACGAGGGTAGAGGCTCCCTCCAGGCTGCCTTTCCCTCTCTCTTTCCTGCTCCCACACCCCCCAAACCAAAGCAGACATTTACAGAAGAACTGAGCTACTGGCTTGACAGAGATACAGACAGCTGGAGGTCTATTAATTCATAAGAAGAAACTTACATCCAGAAACCCCTCTACATAAGAAAACTGGTCATAACAAATGCTTAGGGCACAGAGATGGACCCAAATCCAGATAAAACAAATTAATGCCAAGCAAGATGACGAAACCCCAAATTTGTGATGAACGAAAACGTTGACAACCCTGTCAGCCCAATGTGAACTCCTGTGGAAGCATAGCCTGATAGTAACAATGACATCAACAACAAAAATTGGAAGGGAGAGGGCAGAACGCAGTGAAGCTAGAACTCAAAAGTGGCCACCAATGCAATTTACTCCGGGGCATTTTATAATCTAATAGGCAAATTGTGTTTAGCTACTCATTTTAGAAACACACACACACGCGCGCGTGCACGCAATGAACGTCAAGATCATTTCTAACTGGCAGGAAATCCTAGAAAACTAATTCCCAAAGTGCACTGGTTCTATGGCCATCTGATCCCACCCCTCCCCTCCCCTCCAAGAAATCCCAACAAAACCACGCTAGACATCGGTTAAAAAAAGACACTGCCAACATCAACAGGTACGAGTCTGCACCCACCGTGTCAGGATGCTAACTGGCTGAACACGTAGCCTAAAAGGGGAACACGGAGGATAAAGGGCCTCAATTCTTCCTGAGTCAAGTTCCCCGGAAGAGCCTCTTTATTCTGGAGTACACATTACTACTTTTAATGATTATAATTAAACCAGAAAGTTGGTCCGTAGTTTTCTGAAGTTATTCGGCTGAGCTACAATTTTAGCAAAACACTTACTATGCCTGCACATATTCATTTAGCGGTTTCATATTTACAAATGTGATAAGTCACAGGGGTGATTATTTATATATTTGCATTTTCCGGTCTCCCACAGGTAAAAGCGTATTAAGTCAATCAGCATCTAACCGACTGTTTGATCTTCTAAACAGACAGTAATAACACAACCTTATAGTTAAATTACATTTGATACTTTTCTCAAAGTGCTTTCATATACATTACCTCATAGTCATTAAAATGATATGGATAAAGTTGTTTTGTTTTTAAGAAAAAGGAATGTAGGACTAGGTTTTTTAAAACTCGAGTTAGTATTTCTTTATTACAAAGTGCAGACTGCTGCTGTGTTGCTGGGGTCTGTCCAGAAGAATGCCCCCCCCACCCCACTTTTCTAAGTTACTGAGCTCTACTGCATGCCTGCTCCGCCGTGTTGCCATTACTCAGCATGCAAGCCCCTTACGGCCAGAGCATGCCAGGAGCGTGTGCTTTAGAAAGCGTGCAGCACTGTGCAGACTGATTGTCTATCCGAGCCACCTTTTTTCTTTTGCAGTGTCTCACAAGGCAGCAGGAAAGGTGGAAAGACCCCACAACCAGAAAGTCATGAGACCTGAACCCTATAGCCTTGGCTCTGCCACCAATTAACCGAGATAATGGGCAAGTAACTTCACCATCCTCTCCTCCAACTTCTGAAGCTATGAAGGAAAGGGATGGGGTCCTGATAGTGTTCAGACAGTGCTGGGTATCTAAAACACCTGGAGGGATTCTCGGCTGAGACCTCACCCCACTGGGAAGTCTAAGCTGGGGTGAGCCAATGCATCAGACTGTTTTTTTTTAAATTCCAGGGATTTTGTTGCCCGTCCCCGGCGAAGACCCACTAGACTAAGTGGTAGTAACAGCAGGAGCAGTGACCATTTACGGAGTGCTCATCATGTGCCAGGCACTCAAGCTAAGTAGCTTACATACGTTATCTCATTTAATCCTTACAACAACCCTGAGGTAGTTACTATTATTATCCCTGTTTTCCAACGTGGAAACTAAGGCTCAGGAAGGTTAAATGACTTGCCTTCTGGACTGGCTTCAGAGTCTCAACTCTTAATCACTATCTATACTGTATCCTTTAAAACTCAAAAGCTCCAGGACTTTAAATAATAAACACAGGCTGCACCTTAGCTAAGTCAGCATGTTTTATTAACTGGGTACGATTTTACTAGCCAATTTTCAACTGAATTGTAAGAAAATTCTAACTTAAACCCCAAAAATGCAACTGGCGAAGGATCTCTACTCTAATGATATCAATGAATAGGGGTTCATCTGGAAAAACACTGAATGAATTTCTTAGGGCCAATCTTTTTTAAGGCTATATCTCTGAAAATCACAATGGAAGGCTGTAGGAAAATATACACACTTTAATTTTACACAAAGCCTTTTAAGAAAATACTTCATGTGGAACACATGCGTTTTAAGGTAAGAAATCTAAGCTGAAATCATACTGTCTGTACGTGAAAGGACTCAAGCGGTACCAGCCCCAAGGTATGCATATATATCAACCACTTTAGAGAGTTGTCAACACCTTGTAGAAGGCCTCTTGCTCCTGGCTTTGCTTTTAAACTAGACAGACTATGTTTTTAGTTTTGAGAAGCAGTTTTCTCTACTTTGAGTTCAAACTTTTGAATTTACGTAAGGTTATTTTAAAAATCTGGTCCTTTTCATTTAGAAAAAGGAGCAGTCAAGTGATACTTTTCTAGTAAGTTGACAGTGCCTCTTTCACCTGACCCCTGGAGTCCCACGCAGTTCAAGCATCACGTGGATGGGCTGTGCTACAATCGTTCATGCTGCTCTTGAGAGTGTTGAGAAAAAGCAATTCATTTCATGAACTTCTTGAGCACCTACTGTAGGCAAGACAGAGCCAGGTGCTGCCCCTGAGTAAGACACAGTCCCCGCCCTCAAGACTGTTCCGCGATGAGAAAACCAGGGAGCTTACACACACTCAGTAGTGTTCCTCCAAGGCTTATTTTCAGAGCTCTCAAGGAAAGATCCCCTGCTTTAAAAAAAAAAAAAAAAAACCCTAAAAAACACAATTATAATTAACCCCTCAACTTGCATCCCACAATGACAGATAAACTTAAAAAGCAGCATAATATTCTAAAGTTTTAGCTTTCCCTGTCCCACCCTTAAAAGGCTAATGGCTAAAACGATTTCAAGTTCATGGAAATGACTGCTGAAGGGGAGTGGCAGAGAGGAAGGTGGGAGGACCGTGGGCCTCCATCCATGTTGAAGGGAACTCTGCCTTCTCGTCCAACCACCACAGGAAGCCCGGCCGGATCACTAGCTGCCTGTGCTGCACCTGACCGTGACCTACGGACGCGGCTCACCCGTGCCCTGTCAGCGAGGCCCGGGACTTTCTCCCCCTTCTCCTGGCCTGGGCCTCCTTTGGTGCAGTCACAGTAAGATTCTCTTTCTAATGAAAACTAAATTTCCTCCTTGGTCAAAGATGACACACTGTACAAAACATAGTTTTTCCTCCTTAGTATTCTAGCCCTGTTAGCATCATCTCAGCAGTTCAACATTTCCATTATCTGCTACTGAGCGGAGAATGGAAATCTTTCAACGTAACGACACTGCACTGAAGTGGCTCTCAAAGGGACAGCTATACACTTATCTGCAAAAGACCCCTGAGAAGATGTAGTGTTACCTTCATTTAACAGATTAAGAGATGGGGCTGTGGCTTGACAGGGGATCGATGACAGAGCCAGGAAGAAAACTCACAGGCCATCAGTGTTCACTTCCTAGCTTCCTAAGTTAATATTCCTTTGGGAGGAAAAAAGTAGTGTATTTATTCTTTTGTATCAGGTTCTCCTTGGGCGGGTGGGGGGTGGTGGTCGTAAAGCTTTAAAAAGAGAATGAAGTATTAATTAAAATTAGACCTGATATCAAGAATATGAGTAGTATCTAACCGATTAGGTTCAGTTCCATATGATCCTAATTAGTTTCCATAATAATAACTGAATAGGAAAGGAAAAGGCCCATTTTTCAAAGGCAAAACATATTTGGGGGTTAAGTCATTAGGTTTCTAGGATTTAATCAGTGTTTCCTGGAAATGACCTGCCCCTTCAATTATGCATTCTTCTAAGAGAGGTGAAATGACAAAATAAATATCAAAGAGTATTCCCAATAGGATATTTACAGACAAACCCAACAATGAGGGGGAGGGGGATATGTGAAAGGAGAAAAGCATGAGAGTAATTTGGGGTGATTCATTTGAAATCCACAGAGACTAAGAGAATGTTTCTCCTTGCTCTCTAACTAGCCTGGGTCTAAGGTGCTAAGGGAGGAGAAAGGTACAGAGAAATGGCCATTGGGACCGAGTCAGCTTCTCGAAAACTCTCAGTCACAGACCTCTGGACCTGACCACTGGATTCCAAGAAACCTCCCTCCCTGGTAGTTTAGCTGATAAAGAAATACAGAGCTGCTCAATTCCTTGGCCAGTATGTCGGTATGCAGGGGCACCGTATCAGAAAAGGATTCCTGAGAGAACCTGTACATGACCACTATTTTCGAAACCAACGCTGGTCAATGCCCTGAATACTGCCAGAGATAGAGGAGGAGAGCCTGCCCAGCAAAGAGCAGAGAGGAACCACTAAGGAAACCCCTATGCCTATGATTTCTAGACGGGCACCAGCAAGCAGAAAGCCAATCCTGGTCCACTAGGAAATAATCTACGAGACTGGGAGAAATGACTTTTGCTCATCAGTGGAGAAGATGTGAGGAGGAGTTTTCAATCTCCCTGACGACTTCTGCACCAATTAGCACACCCATGGGAAAGAGGACAGGAGCCCACCCTAGCAATCTGATCTGCAGTTCTTACTGCAGCGGGGAGCCCTGTGGAAACAGCTGCGTTCAACAGCCTCAAAGGAAAGGTCCCTTGGTACATTCCCAGCTTTCCCCTCTTCTGTCCCACCCGATTCATTCGGCGAGGGGGCGCGTCATCACCGATCGTAACCCCTTGAGCCCCAAGCCAACCCCGCAGTGTGTGGTGCGGAATGAGCGCCACTGTCAGTTTCCGGGCGGGCGCAGGCCTGCGGCCTTGCCGAGAGCAGCCCCGTGTCCCCAGCGCACAGCATTCCGGGTAGGCGCGGGCTGGACTGGGTTCTTCGTGGCCTGACATACACACGCTCCCTGATGTTCCGGTGCGCCTTCCAATCCTGTCCGCGACTGCTCCGCCCCCATCTCATTTCCCTGTCCTACGTGTTTTTGCTTTTTGTTGTTTTTGAGATGAACCTGTAAACGTGAGAGCTCAGAGATCTGAGGTACTTCACATAAACACACTCAAGTATCAGTCTTTCATTTTTTGAAAACAGGAACACAGGAAAACAAGCCCCTCTCCCTCTCCCCTCAGAGCTGTAGGCGTCTGCCCACGAGGCTCACAGTGGCTACCTCTGCACCACGTCGCTGATCTCCTGTACACATGACAGTAAGTTATTAAGGACAGGGTTGGCCCCGGGCCCCCCGGCCGCCGCTGAAGACACCTGCAGCTCCTGCAGGCTGAGCTCCAGTTTGCTCACAGCCTCTCGGAAGGCAAATTTGTTGCGCGTCTGCGGGATGCAGTCCACGTAGCCTGAGCAGTAGTCGAGGAGCTGGTGGCCAGTGTCCACCAGCTGGCTGTTGGGCACAGGCTCCGTGATGGCACTGGACAGTAGGTCAGCACATTCCAGCAGGGCCTCTTTGCTGATTTTGTCTGCTGAGATTTTCTCAGCCGCCTGTCTGGTTTTTCTCAGAGCCACTTTAGTACCTGCTGTGCCGTTAGCCATTTTGGCTGGCGAGATGGAAGATGTGGGGAGAGGCACTTGAGGGGGAGGCATCACTGGCCTCCCGGCTTTCCCACCACCAGGCACTGCCCCCGGAGCGGCCTTTTTCCCTCCTTCCTGTGTTTCTGGCATGGGCTGTCCTGCAGTCGGGGCAGTCGGCTCTTCCGTGGGGTCTGTGCACATGGACGGATGCTGCAGTAGTCTCATCACTGGGGGGGGGGTGGGGCACACTTTGGTTTTACCCGTCGGGGTCGGTCCTTGTCTCCAGAGGATGTGACCTGATGCTCAGATAAGAGTTTGAATTTATTGCCCTGAGAGTCTGTGCCAATGAGCTGCACGTCAGCTGGAGTGTGCTTCAGAGTGGGTGAGATAAGGACTGGCACTTTGTGGTTGTGAGTGGTTGGGAGGGCTGCTGCAGCCTTGGCCGGAGAAGACCAGCCCGTCTGCTCGCCGTCCTCTGGGACTCCAGCCATGCCGAGTCGCGCCCCACCATTCCTCTCCTTGCTCTTTGGGGCGGCTGCCACTCCAGCCACCCCCGCCCCTGGAAAGTCCTTCTCTGTAATGGCTGGATCCCCAGAGGGGGTTCTGAGAGGAAGAGCCGTGGCTCCTCTGGGCAAAAGTTTGGCTTTTGGTCTCTCCCTACTTGGAGCAGCACCTTCCTCTGATTTTTTTGGAAGCATGTCATTGGCCCTGTCCACATTCTCTTCTGGCTGAGAAGAGGTGGACATTGTCCTTTCCAGCTGGAGTTTGGACCTCTGGCAGTTCCTGGGAAGGGTCATTGCCATCCTATCCTGCTCTGGAAGCCCTGAGGACATGGAAGATGTAGAGTTTGACCTTGGAAAAGGCTTGGAAGTGTCATCACTGGCTGTGGGTTTCCCCGCTCGTAAGCCCAGTGTCTTTTTGATTAAGCGTGGTGTAAAGAAGCCTGTGATGCCAGACCACCCGCCCCCAGCAGTGCCGCTGCCCCCGCCCCCACCGCCATCGTCATTACAGAGGTTCCTCTGTGCAAAGCTCCCCCCAAAGCACTTGGGTGGCACCAGATTCGCCTCTTGCTGGGCAGGAGTGAAAGAGAACCCATCAGCATGCTGTAGAGAAGCAACAGATGAGAAGTTACCCGTGAGTTCGTATTTCTTGTGGGGTTGATTCTCCATTTCTCGGAAGGAGCTGCTGCGCTTGGGGGGTGTGGGAGCATTTCTCTTTTTCATGAAGGAGCTGAAGAAGCCTCCCTTCCTATCCCTGGTGAAGCATGTCTCTTTGGCATCTTCCAAGAGGCTGCTGGGTGACTTGTCTCTTTGTTTTCGAGGCAATGCTGGGGACCCACTAGGGGCCTGTGCACCTCTAAGGAACCCTGATGAGAAACGGCCAATCAGTAATGTGAAAGACAAACAGTGACTCCGTTACACTTGAGTAACTAAGGCCTCACTGTAAGAGTTTTGTCAGGATCTCTTAAATGTCAGGTAGCAGCAGGACTCAGAGAAAACTAATAAATGCGTTATCATTTCCCACCGATGAGTTCCAAATACAACATGGGATATAAATGCGAAGAAACCACCCGCTGGTTTTCACCTCGGCATCTGTCTTTTCTCTAAAAACCACAGCGCACCCTGGCCTCCTCTATCAGGCTCAATGAAGCAGTTTCTGCCAGAACTGTAAAGACGCTAAGCGTCTGGGATTCGGGAGTTGAGGAAAGAGCGCGGGAGGCCGAGCCGTGGGCCGGGCGGGGAGATCGGGCCTACCGCCGGCACCGCGGGCCGGCCACAAGAGCCGGAGCTGTTGCAAGGCCAGGCGGCCCCTCCTCAGGGAAGACGGAGAGCAGAGTGGAGATCGAGCATCGTACCCCAAGGTTCTTGGAATGAGACGGCTGCATTCTACCCGCCTAGCGACCCATACCTGGTGCTGAACTAGAAGCAGAATTTTCTGTGGCGTCCTGTGCCCCTTCGATATTCTCCTTGTTGTCCCCCTGCTTCTTGAGCGTCCGCGTCTTGGAAGGAAGTACAGGCAGTCGGGGCAGGTAGGGAACAACAGATGAGGCGGCGGCGGCTCGCCCAAGCTCCTCAGCTACCTCTGTGAGGAAGAGAGGGGGCTGATCAAACCAGCGTCACGACACAGAAAAGGTTTTCTTTTCAGAAAAGATACACAACTGAGAAAAAAACTGGAGAAAAGAGCACCAAAATATGTAACGGAATCAGAGTACGGACTCTTTTTATGTCTGGCTTCTTTGGCTCAACACCGTGACTGCAGATCCATCCGCGCTGTTGCACGCGGCAGGGGCTTTCACGCATACTGTTCAAACGTGTGAATCTCCCAAAATCAGGCCGTTCCTCTTTTGATGGATATTTACGTTATTTCTGGTTTGGGGCTACTGTGAATATGCCGCTAGGAACACCCGGCTACGTGTCCTTTGCTTCAGAATCGTACATACGTCTGCGGGTACATACCAAGAAGCAGGACCGGTGGGTTACAGGGTGCACATAATTCAGCTTCGCTGAGTCCTGCCAAACTGTCTCCCAAAACGGCTGTATCAATCTATACTCCCACTAGCACTGTATACAAGTTCTGGTTACTCTGCATGCTTGCCAGAGTTTGATATTCTGAGGTTTTGGGGTTCGATTTTAATTTTAGCCATTCTGGTGCTAGGATATAGTGACACCTCATTGTTCTATTCTGGACTTCTCTGACGAGGAGTAATGTTAAGAAGCATGGTTTCATAGGCTTTCATATCATTTGGCTAGCCTTGTTTACTGAGGGCTTGTTCAGAGGCTGAACAAAGCCGACAGATTTCTGGAGTTACTTTTATTTTTAGGTTGCACCTTACACCAAGAAGGAGGATGGATACACTTCATTTCATTTCATGCAAAAAAAGTGTTCACCCTTTTGAACATGGCTGTGTGTTTTGTGGCTTCTACTGGGGCAAAGGCATGCTTTGCTATTCATTCCTGAACAAAAATGAAGCAAGTGAGATCAATTCAATTGTGATACATTGTGATTTTTTTTATATTTTTGGGCAACTATTTTTTTTTAATTTTTTTTTTAATTGCTGAACAGCCTTTTTTTTTTTTTTAAGATTTTATTTATTTGAGAGAGAGAATGAGAGACAGAGAGCGTGAGAGGAAAGAGGGTCAGAGGGAGAAGCAGACCCCCCATTGAGCAGGGAGCCCGATGTGGGACTCGATCCAGGGACTCCAGGATCATGACCTGAGCCGAAGGCAGTCGCTTAACCAACTGAGCCGCCCAGGCGCCCCTTGGGCAACTATTTTAAAAATTCACTCCTGCACAAGAATGGGTACATGGCATATAACCCAAGCCAGGCAGCGAGACTCCTTTCCTACGCTGCTATATACAGCAGCTGGGAGACAAGACGTCAGCTATGAAGATACGACCTCAAGGATGCTAGCAACTGTGCCCCATGTCTCTTCGAAGATTCCGAGGATGAGGTCAACGTAGAGGCAAAAGTAAAGTGATACTGGGTGGGAGTGGCTGTGGAAGGAGGAAGTCCCGAAGCTACTTGAATCTGTGGCTTCTACTGACTCTGAACCACACCAGAGTCTGGTTATGAGCCAATAAATCCTCCTTCTATTGCTTTAGAAAGCTTGAGTTAGGTTTCTTCTACTCACAACTAACCAATAAATACATCTTTTTAAGGTATGAACTGTGTCTTATCTCTGTGTCTTCAGTAAAGTGCTTGCCACAGATTAAATGCTTAATAAAATATGGGTTAAATAATCTTAAATTTCTTGTTTAGCAATTTTAAATTGCAATTACCTTTGAAAATTGATAATGGTTGATTTTCTAAAAGGACAGAACATTTTCAAGAGAAAGAGAAAATTTAACTAAGGATTCAACAGAAGTTAAAAGTTGACACAGAAGCACCAAAGAAATGGAGCCTGTGACTCCTACCACTTGAACGCCACATGAAGTAAAGCACAATGAGGAAAGAAGAGGGCCGTGAGGGGCAGCTGCTCGATCTGGCCCGAAGGGTGATGTGCACAAGTTTCAGCAAAGGACTAAGAAGAAAACACTTTTCATTCAACTTCAGTGTTGTACTTTTCCCTTTCTTCTTATCAGAAATGATAAATCACTAAAATGGAAGACAACAAAATTCAACTTGCCTGATTTCCTCTTCTTCTATTTTAAAACCTGAACTTAAGGCGTAAGCTCTATGTTCAATTATGAAGGAAAGAAAAAATTTGAAAAATATGTGCGAAACTCTGGAGCTGTACTGAAGAATCCAATCAGCACACATAACTAAGAATTCTGTTTTCAGCTCTCTAGGAACAGGCTGTCTATATAACGAGCGTACTGACTTGAGCATGTAACTGCAGAGGCGCTGGGTACTGACGTCAGAAGCTGCCTGCAGGCACCCATACGCCGGTTTTTCAGATACGAAAAGGGCTCTCACTGTTCAAAGCTTAACATGCTCATTTTTAAACTGTTTCCATGTGAGTATATTTTAGAATATCATTTTAAATATTCAATTGTGTGAATGTAATAATTAGCATCCCACTGGATTTTTAAATTGTTCATTTTTCAATATCAAAAACTACATGCTGATGTAACATCCTTGTAGCTAAATCTTTATTCATACCCTTAATTATTTCCTTAAGATCTATTTCCAGAAATGAAATTTCTGAATATTGCTTTTATGATTTGAGTTTGCTACTGTCTTTGTAGATATGGTTCAGGGAGGTGGAATATTCTTCATACTCATTTTTTCTTCCCTTCCATATATGGTTAAGTGTTGGTGCTTTAAGAACTACCAAACTTCTTCTCTTTATGAAGAGACTGAATTCCCACTTAAAATACAATTTCAATGTTAGAAATAAGCTTGAGACATAGAGACACATTTAAAAATAGCAAAAGAAAAAAAAGGCAAAACAAGAATAATAAAGGCCAAGAATTAATTCAGTCCCCTGAAATGGAGTCCCAAACTAGAGGAGCCTATCATTTTCGAAATGTTATTACCACCCCTACCATCACCCAGACCTGGCCACCACCAGTAAACTGCCAGATTCCCACCTTCAGAAATGCTGGAGTCATGGAACATGGTTTCAAAAGCCTGATGTGTTTCAGCAAAAGAAGGCCTGTCGGCAGGGCTCCACTTCCAGCCTATGTAACAAAGAAGGAAATACTGAAAACTCCTTTCAGAAATTAAATATCCAGTGGCACACCTGCGAGTGAGGCTACTGAGGCAGAGGTCCAGCATGTTCACAATGAGAGTGAGGCAGCTGCTTCTCAGTTCCAGACTCAGGTGTAATAAACCCACTTCCTAGGGCTGGTCCTTCTATTCTTTCTACTACAGGGATAAAGATAGGTAGGGAGATGGTTTATAAAATGGAAAGTTGTTTTCTACTGGAAAAATGAAAGAAGTGAGACCTATCTTCAAACTCATTCTAACCTTATAATCAGCTGTCCATGTTCAGAAATATAACGGGATATCAGAAAGGAGGAACTTAAGAGTTCACTTTGACAAAAACAGGAGAATAGGGAAAATAAAAAGACATATGCTTAAACACAATGCAATTTAATAATTCCCTACTCACCTTCCAGCTTTCTCATCTGTAAGAAGTCAGATGCTTATGTTTATTCATGAGAGGTTACTTTCAGGTATTCTCCAGTCTTTGGCAATCATTTTTATCTGGTTGAAAGCAGCCTTCCCTTACCCAAACTCTAAACCCATTTTTTTTTTTTTAAGATTTTATTTATTTGACAGCGAGAGAGGGAACACAAGCAGGGTGAGTGGGAGAGGGAGAAGCAGGCTTCCCGCCGAGCAGAGAGCCTGATGTGGGGCTCGATCCCAGGACCCTGGGACCATGACCTAAGCCGAAGGCAGATGCTTAACGACTGAGCCACCCAGGTGTCCCTAAACCCAATTTCTTCTCATCCTTATTATGCAAGTGGTTTGGGGAAATTTAGTCAATTCATGGGCCATGGACAACTGTTGTTAGGATTCCAATTAAACTTGATGGTTTATCATAAATGCCAACTGGTTGATCAATGACCAACCTCTTTTTTTTTTTTTAAGATTTTATTTATTTATCTGAGAGAGAGAGAGAGCCAGGGGGAGGGGGCAGAGGCAGAGGGAAAAGCAAACTCCCCGCTGAGCTCAGAGCCCAACATGGGGCTCAATCCCAGGGCCCTGAGATCATGACCTGAGCTGAAGGCAGACGCTTAACTGACTGAGCCACCTGACCAACACTTTGTACGTCAGGGGGTTGGATTAAATCTGACACTGAGAGGAAAACAGTTTATTTCGTTAATCATCCTGAATCACTGACTTAACCCTTCAAAATTAAAATACAAAAAAAACCACTCACATGCTCTCATAAGTTCATAAACCTTAGGGGGGCATCCTTCAGGTTGTTCCATTCGATATCCTTTTTCCAGTAGATCATACACCTGAGACAGGTCAATACCTGGATACGGTGACATTCCATATGTAGCAATTTCCCACAACAGTACCCCGAAAGCTGCAAAAGCGATTAAAAAAAAAAAAGCTGAATGTTTCTTCTCTGATTTGTTATCTACTTTATACTATTAGGTAACTTCTCTTCAAATTTGGGTAACATTCACACTATTAGTATACTCTTCTAATTCTTATAGCATTCTAGTTCTTACAGCTGAACTTGTCCTTCTAAGATACCTGCCACAAAATGCTTCAGGTATAACCTCCAGGCTGTTTTCTAGAAGTTTCCCTTTTTTTTTTTTTACAGATTTTATTTGACAGAGAGACACAGCGAGAGAGGGAACACAAGCAGAGGGGGTGGGAGAGAGAGAAGCAGTCTTCCCACTGAGCAAGGAGCCTGATGTGGGGCACGATCCCAGTACCCTGGGATCATGACCTGAGCCGAAGGCAGACGCTTAACGACTGAGCCACCCAGGCACCCCAAATTTCCCAATTTTTTAAAAAAGATTTTTTATTTGAGAGAAAGAGCACGCATGAGCACACAGCGTGTGAGTGGGGATGGGAGGGGCAGGAGAGGGAGAGAGAATCCCAAACAGACTCCCCACTAAGTGCGAGAAGGGCTCGATCCCATGTCACCAAGACACCAAGATCACAACCCAAGCCAAAACCAAAGTCCGATGCTCAACCAACTGAGCTACACAGGTGCCCCATAAATTTCCCAATTTTTATTTAGATCTCTTTTACTGTAGTGAGGGAGAATAAATTAGGACCATAAAAAGTCTGGGACGGAACCAAACTACTCTTAGAACAATCTATGATCTATTTAATGAGTTCCAGTTTTTAGATCAGCTAATATTAAAGGAGTAAAATAGAAAGGGACTCCTTTAAAATCAGGAAAAAAAAAATCACACTAGCAAAGAAAATTTGCTTGATCTTGTCACACATTATTTCTGAGTTTTGAGATTTCTGGTAAAAAGTGGCTTAGCATCTTACAACTATTTCTGCTGGCCTACAAACCCAAATTTCTAGACCTGTTCAGTCCATGAGCCTCTGCTAAATCAGACTGCTTTCCAGGGCAACCAGAACAAGATGAGTTAGTTACAAGGACAAACTCTAGGTACAATTCCATCATGCCTTCCTTGAAAAGAAGAGGCTACTCTGTGTCACAGTACTCAGGAAATGAGCTATGGAAAACAGGGAGCTTCACAGAGAGAGGATCAGTAAAATTCCAATGCAATCCAAGATCTAGACTGTGAGCTTCTTGAAAGCAGGGACTTGTTTTTTGGCGGTTTTTCTTCCACTTTCTTCTTCACATTTTTTCTAGGCTAAGTGTCTAACACAACGCCTGGCAGATAATAGGTATTTAATAAATTCTTGCTGAATGATGAAGGATGGGGGTGAAGGCAGAGTTTACTGATTACATAAATGAGAAGCTCTAAAGAATTAAGAACATTTATTAAAAACATAAAATGACAGACACAGAAGAAGTCCCTTCCGACCTTACCCCAGACGTCAGATTTAATTGAGAAGGTATTGTAGGCAAGACTCTCTGGTGCTGTCCATTTAATAGGAAATTTGGCTCCAGCATGAGCAGTATAGGTGTCTCCAGTCATCAGTCTACTCAAACCAAAGTCAGCCACTTTTACCACATGGTTTTCTCCCACTAGGCAGTTACGGGCTGCAAGATCTCTGTGGAGAAAAGAACCCTAATGTGATTCCATTCAGAGGGTGAGGAAAATGGCCATGAACACTCTCTTCTTGGTTCTTCGTGCTACAAGCGGAGTTGAGAAGCGCACGCTGGCAGACACAGTATCTGATGACAGCTGCTAACGTGGCAGAAAGCCACTGACCACAGACCACTTGTAGGGGCATCATCAAGAGGCAATTCTCTGATACTCGAACAAAGCAGACTTCAGAAAATGGCTTCCTATTTACAAGTACACTGAGAGAGGTGTCAGAAGTGAGGAGAAGATGCTTTTCTACCAGGCTTTAAGTTCTTTACCAAGACAGAAAACCATTTTTAAAATTAAGCCATTAGAGCAAAAACCTCTTTGAAATGGTCCTAGGCAAAATAAAGAGCATTCTGTTTTGAGAATTAGCAAAGGCCCATTAATACTTTAACCAAAATACAGTAGGTTTATAAGCTGGAAATCACATTATAGTGGGCGAGCCCTATGAATGAGAAAATTGCTTTTCTGAGGCATCTCGAAATTTCTGGGAAGGTTCTCACATTCTTTTCTTTATTTGCACCTCAAGCAAGGTAGCTTCATGGTTAGTCACAGGCAATAGTCAGGCTTTACACACCTATGGATGAAATTCTTCTTCTCTAGATACTCCATTGCAGAAGAGATCTGAGTGGCCATGTACAGCAGGACAACTGCAGTCACCTCTTCTCGACTACATTCTCGGAGATAATCAAGCAAGTTGCCATACGGCATGTACTCAGTCACAATGTAAAATGGTGGCTCCAAAGTACACACACCTGAGAGTTGAAGAATAGAGCTTGTTTTATTAGTGTATTTCCAAAAATTCCCAACTACTTCAGCAAGAACAAGAGACACATTTTAAAGTCTAGCTCAGCAGTAATCTTTTCCCTTCTCACCATCACATTCTCCTAAAATAACACAGCAAAGTTAAGATGAAGGTGGTTGATAAGGGAGTCTTGGCTTCCACTACACATCATTCTTTGGAAATCCACATGCATCTGAGTATTTGCCTGTTTGGGCAAAAGCATTAATTCCATAAGGGGTCAAGAAGACCAAAATGTCTTGAGTTCTGTATATGCCTGTGATTCCCATCCTCACCTGCACACTAACAATATTTATCCAAAACTAACAGCAATTGTGTGTATGTTGAAGAGCATGTGAGCGCAGCCCGTATCATGCTTTGTAAAAAGATTGTTTCCATAGTCAAGGGTTTCACTGATACACGGCAGACTCCTTGTAAAGAATCAACAAGAAACTATTTCCTTTGGGACAATTTGGCTCAAGGTGAACACCCAAAGGAACTGGCCCTCTTTTCAAAAGGGCTGAGAGTTCAGTCACTAGTTTCTTTGTGACCTGAACAGGCGAGGAGCCATTCTACACAGGCTACCACCTGCTGCTTTGCAAGGTAAACCAATGGGTGTGGCCACAATTTGTAACCTGCTTCTTTTCTACAGTTCTTTATGTCTCTTTATTTTGTAAAAATATTTTGTGACAATGTTTGGTTTGGTATCATTTTGAGTGATTCTAAACTTTGAATCTGGGGCAATTACCACAAACTGGGCAGTTATATATATTGTAATCAATCCAGGCCATTGTTTCCTGGGCAATTTTTATTAAAATCTTTTGAATTAATTTATGTATGTATGTAATCCCTACACCAAACACGGCGAATTCATGACCCCAAGATCAAGAGTCAAATGCTCTACTGACTGAGCCAGCCAGGGACCCCGTTCCTGGGCAATTTTATAAACAGAGAGCCTGCTGATTAAAATGACAACCATTTACTGAAGCAAACATTTATTGCGCCTGGAGCTTCCACCATGGTGATTCAAAAGCAGCATTTGGAAATAAGGGGGATGGGAGACAAGGACCTTCAAGGAAACCTATGGTTCAGGCAAGCTTCCTCACCTAGTAGTTGGACCAGATTAGGATGCTTGATTTCCTTCATCACTGCAGCTTCCTTCAGGAACTCTTCCACCTCCATGGTATCTTCCTGGAAGGGGGAAAAATAAGAGAAAAACAAAAAACAAAACAGAAGAGGGACAAACCCCCATTTTAATCATTTGAGTCAACTCACAATCCTAAAACTACAGCTTTAAAAGGAGATATCTTTTGAATATTTTAGCAGATTACTTAAAGAAATTTTATCAGAACCTAATAATATGCTCCAGAGACATCCAATTAAGAAAGAAAAGTATCCCCAAATCTATCCAACATTTGAAACTGGAGTGAAAATTACCAGGGCAAGCAAAATTCAGCCACCACATCCCATCACAACTGAGACCTGGGAGACCTGGATGGATAACTCAGTGCTCTGATAGTTTACTTCCCTAGATAGCTCAGCCTTCAAAAGAGGAGACAGAAGAGTTAGCTGTTTACATATCTGTCTTCCTGACAAATTCCTTAAGGAGCAATACATGTTTACAAAGCCATGCATATTGTCTCAGACTCAAAATATGCTTAATAAATGTTTGCTGACCAGAACTGATTACACTCATAGCCAAAGAGCAGCCCTTACACACGATACGCCAAAGCTACAGAGGTATATGGGAGATCTTCAGAGAATGGAATGAGTGACAACACTGTAATTGGACTCTAGGCTGCTTAAAGAAGACAACGGCATCAGGAAGATTTCCATGACTATTAGGAACAAGAGAAGTGATCTAATCTCAGAGAGATGGGGGAGCACAAGGCAGAGAGCTCAAGGACAGAAGAGAGCCCGTGATCCTTGAGCACTGCATGAACAGTGCTATCCAGCAGGGGTCATTCTCAGGAAGCAAAACAGCTTGTTTTGCATTTATAACTTAGAATCTGCTCCTAACCTTCCACTAAGCCTCCAGAGACCGGCCTTCCCCGCATGGGGTCTCCCTGCGCTGCGGTGAGTAATCTGCCCCCACACTGTCAGCCGTGGTACGAAGGTTAATCATCAATCTGCCGATGTGCCTGGCACCGGTGGGTGGAAAGCATTCCAAAGTTAAAGAAGGGCACACTCCTATTTCCAAGTGATTCAGCACAAAATAAAAAAAAAAGACTGGAGACTGTAATTCTCAGCAACCCACCTTCAATGTTTTCACAGCAACCGTAAGGCTGTATTTCTTCCAGACGCCAACATAAACTTCTCCATACTGCCCGCCCCCAAGTTTGTGCTTCATGGTAATATCCGTTCGTTCCATTTCCCACTTGTCATGGATGGGGGACACACCATAGACTGTGGGCTTATTGCACTTGGGCGCTGGGTAGTGTAACGTCGTCACCAGCCCGTCGGCCACCGTGGAGTGATGGTGCACGAGTTCGGCCAGGGTGCTAAAGCGGCTCTCAGCAGTGACGTACACCTGGTGAGGCAGGCGGGAGGAAAGCTAAAGCAACTTGAAAAGAGGTCAGAAAACCGTTTTCAAAGCCCATTAATTTCACTGGTCTGAAGATACGAAGATAGGAGGTCACCTTACGGAGGTAAATGAAAGAAGTAAATGATGATGGGAAGGGGAAACACAGAACTTAAGTTTAACCTCTTTACACCACTCTTCCCGGGTTTCCTAAAGAAGCTCGGGGGGGGGGGGGGGGGGGCGCTTCCAAGCTATCTTTCTGGATCATCAAGATCCACCCAAGATCATGGGTCTTCAAATATTTTGAAGCAACAAGACTGTGAAACCCAAATCCGTAAGACAGAGGCAGAGATGCTGATTTAAGTAGGGAAGGGGAGAGACCTGGCCTCTTCTGAAAGGCCATGAAATACCAACTCAGAATCTTGTACAGAACATAACTCGAGAACCACTGGTTTCCATTTTTTTTGGTAGAAAGAGAGTATTTAAGGATCTTACAATTTTTACTTAATTAGGATGTGCTTTTGAGTAGCTAGGCTGTTAAAAAAAGAGCCACAGTTTTATATCCGGGTTGTTAACAAAACGGTAATTTGTGACAAGTAATTAAAGTATAAAAGCAGTCTTTGAACCCTATCTCCCAAGGGAGCTAGCTTACTGTTTTTTAAAAAAGAAACTTGCGTTGTATACAGAAGAACACATAATACATGCAGAATTGATGATTTTTACAAGGTGAGCTCACCCACATAAACCTCTCCCACACCAAGAATTATAACACTACCAGCACCCTCCCAGCTAAGCTATTCACTCCTTCAAAGATAACCACTCTCTGGACTTCTAACACCTTACATTAGCTTTGCCTCCTTCTGAACTTACACAAATGGAATCATATTATGCATTGTTGTGCCTGCCTTTCTTTCATTCCACTTTTCTTTATTGTGATGTAATTCACATACGATAATATCCACCATTTTTAAGTATACAATTCAGTGGCTTTAATACATTCACAAAGTTGTCCAACCATCACCACTATGTAAGTCCAGAACACTTCCCATCAGCCTACAAAGAAACCCAATACCATCAGCAGCCATTCACATTCCCCTCATGCCCAACCCCTGACAATCACTAACTCCTTTCACTCAGTTTTACATGTGTGAGACTCACCTACGAATGGGTCAACACACTTTTCTGCAGAGGGCCAGAGAGTAAATATTTTAGGCTTGTGGCCATAGTGCCTCTGTCATAACTACTTAAAGCTGCTGTAAGAATGAAGAAGCAGCCATAGACAATACGTAAACAAGCAGGTGTGGCTGTGTTCCAATAAAATTTTACTTACAAAAGCAGGCAACTGGGCGGGCCACAGATTTTTGTCAGAGTGTATACAGCAGGACTACATTCATTTTTTTGTTGTATGAGATTCTGTTTTATGAATACACAATTTATTAATTCATTCTGTTGTTAGACAATTAAGTGCTTCTAATTTGGGCCTATTACAAATAATGCGACTACAAACATTATGTACATGTCTTCTGTACACATATGCACTCATTTCTGTTGGGTATGTAACCAGAAGTAGAGCTGCTAGGTCCCTCCTACATTATCACTTATCTGATTCTATGTGGTTTCATCAGGAGACAATATGTCTGTAGGGTGATGCAAAAGAGAAACAATTAATAATTATTTCCTACTTTGTAGCAGCCATTATGTTTTAAGGAAATTATTCCATTTAATCCTCATGACGATCCAATAAATTGGGATGAGAAATTGAGGCTTAGAGTAAGGTCACAAAGTTGACAAATATCAATGGTGGAGGTACCCAGCAAACCAGGTCTGCTTGCTCTTGGCAAAGCCTGTGCTTTCCCCTACTATGCATATTACACAGACCGAAAGAACAGAACAAATGACTCAATGTAAATTTACTGTTCAACAGAACGGACATAAACCTATGCTTCACAGTTTATAAAGTAAAACAGCTCCATTCTAACACAACCACTCTACAATGGTTGGTCTTTCCAACATGTACATTGCTAAATGGCTGATTAATCTATTTATAGTAACATACATTACACATCAATCCCAGTCTCAGAAGCCCAAATGCTTACTCTGTGAACTTTCTGGTAGAGATTATTATAATTTTCAAATATCCAAGGCTTAATTTGTCAATTCTCTACTACATATTGGATGTACCTATATATATCTGTATACTGATGACGATTAGAACTGCTAACTTATACAGCAGTTACCTTCATCACCTTCAAATCTACCTCATCATTAAACTATTAATGCAATACTGTTTTTAATTCCCATTGCCATATTCTTTTGGAAAGAGTAAGCTTTCACATGCCAAATGGCCCAAATTCACATCAGTGATTATTTTATTTCATGTCTGACAGAAAAACCATATTCTTTAGTCATTCTGAGTATTTTTTCTAAAGAAGAGCCAGTCCACACCTACAGGCGGTGCTGGCCAGTCTTACCTTGCCATCTGTGGTGGTATTGATCCTGTAGTGATACACACGCCCCTCGTACCTGAGCGAGATCGACAGCTGCCCGGGGCTGCTCTCGCTTTCTCGCACCAGGAAACTGCCGTTGATTAGACTGCTGAGTAGGTACTCTGCTGCACTGCGTGACACGGGTCCATGGTACCAGGAATGTTTCTCCAAGCTGTTCACTGGGGTGATGTAGTTGCTTGGCACCCAACCTTGTCCATTCTTGGAGCGAACTTCACTCCACTCACCATTCTGGTTATAACCAAGGACTCGCAGCTTTTCACCTAGCCAGGAAGTCATCAGAGTCTTAAGAGAAGATGTTAGGGCTTTACCTCAAGCAGCAGCAGTCTATTGTCAAACTCAGAACCCAGTGAAAAATCAATCACAAACTCTTATGGCAACATTTTTTTAAAAAACAATGAAAACAAACTTGGCTGTTCATCATATCCTGATTGATCACTTTAGCCTGTAGCTTAAACAGAAGCAGCCTAGTTAGGAATAACCTTCTGGCATTTACTAATGGTTTTTACACCAACTAAAAAAATGTCTTTAGGAAACTCCATGTGTGGTATAGTACGGTGGCATACAAAGATAGAAAGGTTATGAACCCATAAATACAAAGACAATGATGGTTGCCAGAGGGGAGAGGGTGGGGCAATGGGCAAAATGGGTTAAGGGGAGTAGGAGATACAGGCTTAAATCCCTTTAGAGAATGAATAAATCACCAAGATAAAAGGTACAGCAGCATAGGGAATATAGTTGATGGTATTATAACAGCATTGTGTGGTGACAGATGGTAGCTACACTTGAAGTGAGCACAGCATAACGTATAGAGTAAATCACTATGTTGTATACCTGGGAGTAATGTAATATTGTGTGTCGACTATACTTCAGTTAAAAAAAAGACAGAAAGGTTATTCTGGAAAATGACACAGTCTCACCCCTCAAAAAAAATTCATTTTTTTTCTCATAACAGTTTGTCAAGGAATATATCTTATATATGGTTCAATGTTAATAACAATCAAGGTTTAGGGATAAGAAATATGAAATACAAAGTTACTTCTAAATTTCAGTTGGCACCGAGTCCAAAAAACCATTTATGTAAAAAACAAAAAAATAAACAAGAAAACAAAACAAAATAGAAGCACAGAACATGCTTTCAGAAAGAAAACTGCCTGGGGGGCAGGCAAGTAGAACTCCCAAAGCACATTCCAGGACTCAAGTTTTAACAGTTATAGTTTCCCAACTTCCCTCCCATTCCCCATGAATATGAGTCAGTCCTATTCATTCCTCTAAAATTAGTATGTGGGAAGGGAAGCTGACACTGAAGCTGGAACCCAAGACAAGTTACTCAGAATGTCTTTGCTTGCTATCAACGTCAATGTCCTTGATCTCTCTGTTACAGTTGTGAACACCAACTTTAAACTCCCTAATATACATTTTGCCCCTAAACTTGCAACTCAGACAAAACAGGAAAGGATAAGAGATATCATTAGTAACAACTAATAACCTAAAGAAACGCTATAAGGCCTTAGGCCCTTATCTCTGAGAGATGCACGCCTTCCTACAGAGTTCACACCTACTTCTCAGTGTCAGCAGAAGAAAACCAAACCAATTAAAAGCACATGGCCCACTAGTTATCAGGCAAAGGCCACTGAGGAAAAGCTCAAAATCATTATTCTGGCAGTCATCAAACTTTTCCAGCAACCCACAGAAATGTTTACCAGTGGGAGCTGATAAAGTTACCCTATTATATCTCACATTGACACCTGGATGTGAGACATTCAATGACAAAAACCTAGGAGTATGTACTCATAAAATACAAGTATGTACAGATAGATAAGTGTGTGTGTGTGGTGTGGCTGCGGAAATGCACCAGTGCACAGATAAATACTGCCCAGCCATATCTGCAGGAAAACAAAAACAAAAAACTCAGTGCTACTAGAAAAGCTAAGTAAAACTTGTTCCTCTGTAGCTTTTCTCTATTGTACCACAAGAACTAGAAAAAATAGACATCAAGTATATCATTGTTGCCTCCTTACAAATAATTGCTAATGGCAGGTCATCATAAGTAGGATACAGTCAAAAACCCCAGGTTTTTGTTTGTTTTCCTCCCTTTGGAAGTTAGGAGGAGAATTTCCTACTCTGGAAGTTGTGAGTACCATGGAAATTGACAAGGGTATGACTAATGGGATGTACTGACAAAGAAATGTTGGGAGAACTCTGTTTTGTAATTCAAGCAAAAAACAATCTCAAAGAAGGAACTAAAATAAGTATCGTTATTTTTCAAATATATTTTCTTGTCCTTTAAAATAATAGCTTTAGCATGACATCATTTTTTTTTTTTAAGATTTTATTTATTTGAGAGAGAGTGAGAGAGAGCATGAGAGTGGAGAGGGTCAGAGGGAGAAGCAGACTCCCCGCTGAGCAGGGAGCCCGATGTGGGACTCGATCCCGGGACTCCGGGATCATGACCTGAGCCGAAGGCAGTCGCTTAAGCAACTGAGCCACCCAGGCGCCCGCATGACATCATTTTATATCAATAAGAACCTGATAGAAAAATCTGACATTTCATGGGGTTTAAGACAAATCACTGTTCGCCATGAGAGAACAAGAATCCCAGCCCTTGAGCTGCACACTAGCAGTTGCCATAACTGGTAACTAAGGTATCAACAGACTGTCTTTATCGATGTTTCCTTGGTGACTGAGCTATCTTGGAAAATGGTGACATGAAAAGCGTATCTAGGAAAGAATGTACTGAGTCACTGCTTCACAAACTTCTCCACTGAAGTATTGATAAAGGTAAAAGAGTGTGCTGTAGCCCAAAGAGACTACTGCACAGTATAAAATTCTTTGAAATCCTGTTTTATCCTAATACTTTGTGTAAAATTTTCCCTCAATGCATAAACCTCACACACATACAAATACTACCACCATCCCCCCCTGCAAAACCACCCAAAGTCTTCAAGTAACTTGACACTAGGAGATCACACACATTGCTTTTTCTACGCCTTTGACACCTCCTGGCATAGGTTTATGTATGTGCCTCACACCCACTATGGAACACATCTCTACCCCAGTTTGAGTTACAGGTTTCTGCTCTTGATTAATGTGGCTGGATTTAAAAAATAGATGCATATAAAAATTTTATAAAAGGGTAACATTCCCTGAATGGAGGCCTATCTTAATTTGGTATATTCACTCCCATTTAATACCTCATTCTGAACCGTACAAAAAAAAAAAAAAGGTGTATGTTTGACAAATTATCATTTAAATTACAATTTCACTTAAGTTAAAAATTATCCTGAAATAGGAGGAGGCTTTCATAGGTTCAAAAGAACAAGCTTAGGCAGATTAGCAATCCAATTCAAGGACACAATGAGAATGTCCCATGCTGCTTTCATTTTTTTTTTTTTTAAAGTAATCTCTACACCCAATGAGGGGCTCAAACTCATGACCCCAAGATCAAGAGTCTCACACACTACCGACTGAGCCAGCCAGGACCCTTTCTCATAAAAGTTCCACATTTTCTTTGTTCAAAAAACTAATAACGGATGATTTTACTTGGTCATGTTCTTAGTCCTCCCTTTTATAAGAATTTTCTACTGAAATAAACTACTACTCTCTTGAGAGCATTAGTACAATAGAAACCCTTCCTATGGCTCCTTTCACTAACCCATTTAAACAGAGATGAGAGATCTGTCTCAGCCAATGCTACTCAAAGCAGGTCCACAATAAGACACGACATTGTGCCAGAATATGAAATCACTGGACTACTTTCTTCTTGTTGAAAGTCTTGCTCCAAAAAAAAGAAAATGTCAGCTGAACTAAATAGTAAGTACTATGCTTAGTGATGTAGTCAGTTTACATATGGGGAACAAGTACTTAATCTTAACAATGAGGACCGGTAACGAACTGTTCTCAGACAGGCAGTCAGCTCAGGGACAACACTGAGTAGCACCCGGCTCTGGCAATATGACTCATCTTAGCCACAGCTCCATGAGAAGAGATGTACAGTAAACCTTACTGTCACATAAGACGAATGCTGGCATATTACAGAGAGTACTGAATCCTGAGAATGAGAAAAGTTTGTGTATATACCGTGTGGTGCTTTTTCTAAAGTACTTTATCTCCTCTTACCCTTAATAAGCCCTATAAAGGAGACAAACTAACACTATCCCATACACAGGTTTTTTAAAAAACAAAAACAAAACAAAACCAAGATAATGAACCCCAAAGTATTTGGGCCCAAATCACCTAATTTTAGTCAGAGACAGAATCTAGAACAGACCCCTTTATTTCTGAAGCACTAATGAAAACTGAAAAGTGAAGCTCACCTTTAGTGATGCTGAGTGTGTTATCACCACTGGCTACAAAATCGTAAAGTGCAACAAAGAGATTAGGGTCGCTCTCAGTGGCTCCAAGTAAGTTCTCCTTGGAGCTCCACCTGATGGCTTCGTTCAGTGCCTGGGGTTCAACATCACAACCATAGGGGCGGTGCAAGGCTTCTGAAAGACATAAAGAGAGAAAGGAATTCACGGTACGTTCAACAGTTAAAAATTCACTTGAATTCAGTACGTACATAGTATTCTAGCTGCTGGCATGTATACACCGACAGCTCCAGAGTGGAGAAGAACTGTATAATATGGAGCCATGAAGAAAGAGCAAACGGCACTGTCTCCTAAGCTTCAGAGAAGTCTACTTGTTGAAAATGTAACAAGACAGAGAAGAGATCACAAAATGAGCATTTAGCCGTGATTTATATGTACTCATCAAAATCAGAAATAGAAAAAGCAGTTTTCTCAAAATGGAAAAAAAAACCTCAAAAAATGGCAATTCGTTTTATAAAACATATAGGCTATTTTGTGGTGGTGGTGGTTTTAAGTTCTGTTTTATAAGTCCTCCCAAACTACCCTTCTTCCCTGACTCTCTCCACATAAAACAAACTGTGGAAAAGATAACAGAGACTTTAAGAAATATGTATATGTTGCATAAATCCAGATCCTCCACTTACATATAGAAAAATTACAGAAACAGGGCTTCCAGAAAAAAACAAAAATACTAAAATTATCTGTTAAACAACAGAAAAATGTTTTGGCTTTATACAAATATTCTTGGCACTCCAAAATACCTTTGTATTACTATGCACTGTCTAGAATGTAACAGCTTCCAACTGTTGTTTTAAAAAGTTTTTACCTTATTTTCTTTTCCTAGGTGGTACATTTTTGTAAGTATCTTGAGAACTTAATTGAAGGCTCTAGAAAATATCACCAACAATAGCCATTTGAGTATCTACCATGTGTAAGGGTTGAAGCCTTGTTAAGACCTGGTTTTTTCCTCAAGGCTTTATGGGTTCCTAAATTTAGTCACACTACACAAAATGGGTGACCCCTATAAAGATCACCTGCTTCTTGCAGTCCAGGTCACTTACACAAAAAATACACTGTGTCTTCAGTAGTGATTTGCTCGATCACAGAAACTGTTTATAGCGGCTGTCTGCCACTCTCCAACTACCTATTGTGACGTAACAACACTTTTCTAGCATCTCTCTCTCTCCTCCCTCCCCACTCATTCTTAATTTAAAATTGACTATTATATCTGAAGGAGAAAAACCCTTGAATCTGTGGTTTTATTTCTTTTCAACCCCACCCCCTCCTCTCCATCTCTACTGCCAATGCCTCAGATCCGATCCCCACCATCTCTCACCTGGACTACTGCCTCCAGTCTTGTCTCCCTCAAAGCCATCCTCCACACAGCTGGCAAAGTGATCTATTTAAAACAAAAATTTGACCAGGTCACTCTTCTTAAGATTCTTTAATAGTTCACCATCAAGCTAAAATCTCTTTAATGGCCTTCAAGGTCTTTTCTAATCAGGTCTCTCTACCTACTTCTCCTGCTTACATTTCCCCCCTCCAAACTTCAAATTCTAAACTTCAACATACACCATGCTTCCTGCTTTTTTGTGCCTTTGTTCACATAGTCCTGGCTACATAGGATGTGATCTCATCCCACCCTTCTTTTGACTGGCTCACTTCTCCTCATTTTATAATACTCAGCTCCAACGTACCTCCCCTAGGAAGCCTCACATCCTCCCTACTACCTGTATACACTTGCTGCATTTGGACCCTCTATCTTTATCTTTACAATCCTCAACTGATGTTTATTTCCCAAACTTTACAATATACTCCTTAGCATGAGAACTGTATCTCTTTTCTAGCAAGAGTTACATACTATGTGTTCAGTAACTGCTGACTGAATGACCAAATTATACAAAAATATAAGTGATGGGAAATAGTGAGATGTATTTTAATCTTAAAACAGCATTAACCAATGTTTTAAAAATGGCTTCATAACGGTCTACAGAAATTCCTGCAGTAGGTTGGATTGTAATTTTCCTAATAGTTTTAGAGTTCATCACATTCCTTCCTCCTCTTAAAAGGAATGTATCTTTATAATTTCAGAGCTAATTTTGTTTCCCATTAAGAATATTATGACAGGAGCGCCTGGCTGGCTCAGTCGGTTAAGCGGCTGCCTTCGGCTCAGGTCATGATCCCAGGGTCCTGGGATCGAGCCCCACGTCGGGCTCCTTCCTCAGTGGGGAGCCTGCTTCTCCCTCTCCCTCTGCTTGCCACTCCACCTGCTTGTGCTCTCCCTCTATCTCTATCAAATAAATAAATAAAATTTTTAAAAATATATATATTATGACAAATCTGAAGGTATGCCCAGATGCCCTGAAAAGTTAATATGAATCAGATGTATTGCTCCTTGTTTAAATGCAGTTACAAGGAATGGAAACAGCTGTACTATGTACTAAGATAACCAATTAGGATTACCAAACAAAACACCATATTCTATGATACATCCTTCAAACAAGTCACATGTACTATGTTTCTCTTTATGCTTGAGAAAGTATCCACTCAGAATTTCCATGGGGCTACAAAATGCCAATCCTTTATTAAAATGAAAAGAACTGCCAAAAAAGTATAGAGAATATTTTCATACTTATTAGATTCTATGCTGAGTATCACATGATCCTCACTAATGTTTCTTGCCAATGATGGTGTTAACATTATAATGTTTGATAACAGTTCAAGTACATGTTCTTCTTTTTGGACAGAAGTCCCCCTTGTTTGAGATTATAAGAGGAACAAAAATCAAGGGTAACAAGAATTCCTGTACTATCAATGATGAAGTTAGAAACAATAATTAAGCAGATACTGAAACTAACTCTTAAATCCTAGCAGGCCAAAACCAGCAAATGCCATACAATTATACCTTACTTTGTGAAACCCAATATATAAACACTTAAGGTTTACAAAACTAATAATTTTAGTGAACATCTACTATAAGTCATTCTGAGCTTCAGAATATAAAGATTATAAATCACCAATAACACTATTTGGACTTAGAAAAAAACACTCTCCGTTCTTTCCCCAAATCTGCTTCTCCCCCAGAATTTCCCATCTCAGAGGCAATTTCTTCTTATCAGCTGCTCAGGCCAAAAACCTTGAAGTTTGAATACAAACTTCTAGCTATAAGATGAGTAAGTTCTGGGCAACTAACATATAGCACAGTGATTATAGTTAATAATACTGTATTATCTACTTGAAAGTTGCTAAGAGAATAGATACTAAATGTTCTCACCACAAAAAAAGAAATAATTATGTGATGTGATACAGGTATTAGCTAATGCTGTGGTGGTAATCACTATGCAATATGCAACTATCAAATTGACACACTGTACACCTTAAACTTACAAAATTAATATGTCAATCAGATCAATAAAACTGGGGGGGAGGGGAACACAAAAGGAAAAACCTTGGAATCACTCAGGACTCCTTTTTTGCATCCAATCCATAAGGAAACCCTCTTGGCACTGCCTTCAAAAACATACCCAGAATCTATCTGCTTCTCACTCCCTCTACTACTACTACTACCCTGTTACAACCATCATCTCTCTCCTGGGTTTTACCACACTCCTGATTTCCATACATCGAGCCTTGTTCTCTATTCTCAACACTCCAGCCAGTTTTTAAAGCATAAGTCAGATTGTGTTACTCCTCCACAGCAAACTCTGGTTCCCTACCTTAGAGTAAAGAGCAAAAGCCTTATGAGAGCCTGCGAGGCTCTTCACAGCTTGTCTTGCCCATACCTGCCTACACTCCCTCCCCCAGTTTACCTCATTCTGGACACTGGCCTCCCTGCTATTACTTGAACAAGGCAGGCACCCTCCTGCCTCAGGACTTTTGTACTGGCTATTTCTTCTGTCTAAAAAATTCCTCCCCCAAGACATTCACTTCACTCAAATGTGACCCTCTTGGTACAGCATTCTCTGACTCTCCTATTTTAAATTGGGGCTATTCCTGACAACACTCCCACCTCCCGCCATGTCTCCTTCCCTATGTTCTCTCCATAGCTCTTATTACCACAAACGATATAATTTACATATATTTATGTATACTATCTAACTCCCCCCAACTAGAATATCAATTTTATGAGGACAAGGATTTTTGCCTGCTTTATTCACTGATAAATTCCAAGCACTCAGAATAGTGCATGTATATAAGAGTCTCTCAAAAAGCAATGAATCATGTGTACTGTTATACTCACATGCTGTACCGCTATGAGAGGACAGAATAGAAAACAAAACTCTGGATCAAAAAAGGTTTCAGAGAAGAGAAGGCATTTAAATTAGATGAGCAGGAATTGTGCACTGATGACAGAGTGACAGGCTGTCAACGTGCAAGGACATGTCTACGACATGCGATTCATCTGTACTGGAGACAAGCTCCATCAGCTCAAGGGAGGTTTGTTAAAGGCAAGTTCAGCTTCTTAAAAACCATGTTATTTGAAAAAAGGCAAAGAGCACAATTTGATGTAAACTTAAAAAGATGTATATAGGCCAAACAATACTGTACATTTCTCAAATATACAAAATAACAAATACAGGATAAAAGCAATTTTTGAGGCCAAAGTACTAAAAGAACCATGACTTGGAAAACAATCCTTTTTATTCCCCACTCCCTGTCTTCCCATTCCTGCTTCTATGATCTTTTTGGTCAAGTCAACAATCTTATTTCCTTCCTTTCTTCTTTCTTCCCACTCATGCTTTTGTTCTCAGAGAACTAAGGGTCAATTTCCTGTACAATCCGTCTGCACAGGATATCCACTTAAACACCATCCTATCCTCTAGCACCAAACAAAAGGGAAAATGTTTCAAAGACAAAAAACAGCATAACATTTTCCTGAGGCCAAGAATGAACATGTATTAAATCATAAAGAATTGAAGAACTAAATGCAGAAGAACAAGCTAAGGAATAAAGGCAAAAAAAAAAAAAAAAGCCTATAGGAAGGGCAAGTAAATGTCACAGTGTTATCCAGTGGGTCTAATCTATGCTACTTTCCTCATCAGCTTAAAACAGACACAGCTGGATGATTCAAATGTACTGTACCCGCACAAATGCAAGTGTGAAGGCTGGGAATGGGTTTTTATGAACAATGTGAAGTGACTACTATATATTCGGTGCCTTAGTGGGTTAGTCTTTCATTAAATGCTGTTACTGAGGTAGATCATGGACTTAAGATGAGACAACAGAAGACTTGATTTTCACTTATGTAACACAGGACCCAGGTAACAGAAATATGACTATTGGGGCGCCTGGGTGGCTCAGTCGTTAAGCGTCTGCCTTCAGCTCAGGTCATGATCCCAGGGTCCTGGCATCGAGCCCCACATCGGGCTCCCTGCTCGGCGGGAAACCCGCGTCTCCCTCTCCCACTCCCCCTGCTTGTGTTCCTGCTCTCGCTGTCTCTGTCAAATAAATAAAATCTTTAAAAAAAAAAAAAAAAAGAAACATGACTATTAATTAAAGGCAATTTTATTACTTTTCTTCTGATAGACTTGCAAAAGACAATAAAAATAAGGCAAAACATAGAAATAGCAGTTTGTACAAAGTATATTATCAGGATTAAACAAGTTAAAATCCTGAATAAGACTCAGACTCAAATCCAGAGATAATTCCTAAATTTAATGTTTAATTTTATTAAAAAACACTGTCACCAATTAGTCATTCAATAACTTTTATCATTTTAATTAGAAATTTGTCAGGTAAGTAACTGGAGAAATAAATTAAAAAATTTTTCAGTTGAGGCATTCATTTCCAAGCATTTTACAAATCCTTATCTTGCCCGAATTCTACTTTATCTGATTGCTTATTCTCTAAGAAACTACTACTTTTTAATACCTCTTTTAAAAACTATGTAAAGTGGTTAGATAAATCATTCAACAGTTCTCAATATAGCTTAAGTTCTTCATATCAAGCCATATATATCTTAACACCACAAAATATTACCTATTATTCACTTGTTCTTTCTTTCAGTAAGTTCTTACTGAGATCCTACTATGAAATACCAGAAACAAAGCACATAAAACTTCACTGGCCAACAATGAGGACAGTAACGGAGAGAATTTTTCTGAAATCTCCATTCACGCTTGACTGCTGTGATTATCTACCCTCCCCCAACCTATCACCTCCGAACCATACCTGTCAAGTTGGGTACAGCAGTGTCTGAGGCCTCACTACTACACAGGCAGCAAAGCGACGACGTGTCCTGATCTCTGCCATAACTATTAGGTGGAAGCAGGACTGTTCCAAGGACCATTCCTCTGCCCAGAAGCACAAAAGTTAAACTGTTCTGTGTAGAGAAGTCTTAGAATTCCACTCCCTGACAAGCAATGCCACATGCATGTGGCGTTTACTCATGTACTCAGT